TTATTTACTGTTGTTATTCTGACAAAACATTAGTCCTCTTCTTTTTTTTTCTTGTTCTTACACTACCTCTGATTACAGCTATTTTGAAAGAATTATTGAGATTACTGTTGTTATATCCAGTTTTTTGCCTTCTATTTTTCCTCTTCTTCTAACACTTCCTTAAGCTAAAAAACTTTTTTTTTTTTTTTTTTTGTTAACCAAAAATTTCACTAAGATAGGAAAATGTGGTCGATTAATAGATAAACCAATTACTTATAATTCTATAAAACAGTCTAAGACAAAAAAGGAGTTACAGTAGACATGCAATTTTGGTGCCAAGGAACATTCAGAATTTCCAGCAATAACTATCAGTAATGTCAAATTTAAGATTACTGCCCTCGATGAGCATCAAATATGGCGATTTCAATATAATTTTAGAAGACAATCGAAAATCAGTTTAAAATAAAAGAAAATATAGCTTAGCTGATGTACAACTTTCAACTGCTGGTAACTTTGGTCGGTTAGTTGAGCTGAACTTAGTGCTTAGTGCTTTGTTGAAGCACAAAGGCAGGCGCAATGTTCAAATGACTGGCAAGCGGAGGTTCATCGACGTTGTCCGTCTGCTGCGATAAATTCGGTTTACTGTATTCAATGTTTAAAAAAAAAAAAAACAAAGAAGAGAAAAAATTCAATCTGGAAATTTATAATATTTTTTAACGATGACAAACTATTAACAGTATTTTCAACTCAAAATTAAAATGACAAAAAACAAGTATTTTTAAGTTTATTAACAGTGGAAACAAAAAAAGGAACACTTAGAAGTTACAAATTTGAAACATTAAACAGCATAAGGAGTCTCACCTGTTTGATCAACCAATTTTAAATATTTTAGTAATACTGTTTAAAGTTTAAAAATATATAAAACTTAAGGTACACTACAAAACAGTAACAGTAAAACAACAAATTATTGGTAATACACATTAAAAGCTTTTCTTTAAGTTTTATGTCCATATTTTCTTCCAGAACAAATACATTTATTTTTTACAATTTCACTGCAAAACGTATCCTATTATAATGTCAAAACTTGATAACTTTTTGAATTTGACTTTGCATTATTAGTTTATATAGTAACCAAATTAAAAAAATAAATAAATAGCCGAATAGATATGAAAAAAATTTTACATTAACAATATTTCAATATTTCGTTAAGTTGAACCAAATATGACTAATGTGAAATTATTGAGAAAAGTATCAGTATCAAGCGAGGGAATACTATTTTATGTTCATCTGTAAGAATTTTTTTAAAACAGATAGTTATATATCGTATCGTTCTATAAAAAATTAAAAAAAAA